CTGGAGGTAATCTGAGGTATTCAGGAGTATAAATACAAAGTTAAGATTTGTTTGATTTAAATTATTCTCCTCATTGGAATGGCAGACTTAGTTCAGTGTAATAGTTGCTATGCATTTGTTTCACGTTCCACTTTTTGGAGGTTTGGTTGTTGTCTAATCTGTAGGCAGTTCTCTATCTTGCGGCAGGAGATTGTATTTTTGAAGTCTGAGATTTGTAAATTATCTGGTGAACAAACTCAGACTGGAACTGCTGCAAAGCCACTGCCGCAGAGACATACTAGGAATGTCAGATGGATTACTGTAGGATCTGGTAGACTTAGAGTTGTGGATAAAGGCATTTTGCACAGTCTGTTGCTCTTCGCAATTCATTTTCTGCACTTTCAGAGTGTAATGGTTTTGTGGAGAGGCACTGAGCTAGTAGTGGTGTGGAGAGAGAGAGCACTGAGGCTAGTGGTGTTGTGGAGAGAGGCACTAAGACCCCTAGTGTGGTATTTAGCCAGAGAGGCACTGAGAGGCTAGTGGTGTTGTGAGAAGAGGCACTGAGGCTAGTGGTGTTGTGGAGAGAGGCACTGAAGGAGCTGAGTGGTGTTGTGGAGAGAAGGCACTGAAGACTAGTGTGGTATTTAATGGGGGAGACCGGCTTGGAGACTATGGTGAGGCCTAATAGAAAGCAGTTTTTGTTGGGGGATTCCATTATAAGAGGTGTGGAGATGGACAATGGTGGTCTTGTGAGGTGTCTTCCCGGAGCTACTGCTCACAGAGACAGGAGGCGTATCTGTAATATTGTTAAGCAAGCAAAGCAGGAAGGGGAATTGGATGTACTTGTCCATCTAGGGACAAATGACTTGGCTTGCAATGAGGTTTCAGAGGTTAAGGAAGTTTTTAGTGTTTTTTGCCAATGATATACGGCAGGTTGCTTCCACACTGTCATTCTCTGAAGTTCTGCCTGTGCATAACACTCAGAGCGACAGGCGGATGCGTATTAGGGACTTTAATTTGTGGCTTGGTGAATGGTGTCGGGAGCAAGGATTTGGCTTTATTTCTCATGGTAGCTCTGTTTGGAATGGAAATAAGCTGTACAAAAAAGATGGTTTGCATCTTTCTCAAAAGGGAACAAATGTTCTCAGTGAGCAGTTCAGAGGTTTTGCTAGGATGTATTTAAACTAAGAGGGGAGGGCAAAAGGGTGATAAAACATCAATCCCAGGTGGCTTCCCCAAACAAGAGACAAGAAAGGTGCTTACTTGTAGCAAAAAGTGTATTAAAAAATGATAAGCTTAGAGTCATGTCTACAAATGCTCGCAGTTTAGGGAATAAGATCCATGAATTTGTGGCAATAATGGCAACTGATAGTGTAGATTTAGTCGCTGTTACTGAGACATGGTACAATGAGAAAAATGACTGGGACATGGCAATACCAGGGTACTCTTTATATAGGAAAGATAGGGAAGGCAAGAAAGGGAGAGGGGTGGCCTTGTATGTGAAGGATAGCATAAAATCTAGCCTAATACAAGTTAGTGAGGCAAACATAGAGTCCGTTTGGGCTACGTTAGAATTTGGTAATCACACAGTAACTCGTGTAGGTCCAGCGATTTGCCAAACCCCCTGGACAAGTGAAGAGTTGAGCAATCTACTGAATTTGAGGGAAGCCAAGCTACAAGAAATGACAATGAAGGGGGAAGTTATCATCATGGGTGACTTTAATCTTCCTGATGTAAATTGGAAAACAAAATTAGCTACTTGTGCCAGGAGCACACATATTCTAAACTCCCTACTGGGATTGTCTCTAAAACAAGTTTGAGGAGCCAACTCGTAAAGAGGCCATACTAGATTTAGTGTTAACAAATGGAGATTTGGTATCAGATGTTACTGTAGGTGAAAGTTTAGGATCCAGTGATCATCAGTCAATGTGGTTTAATATAAGAACAGTGACTGAGTCACACCACACAAAAACAAAAGTTTTAGACTTTAGAAAAACAGACTTTTCTAAAATTAGAATATGGGTAGAGGAGTCATTATCAGACCGGAGCAATTTAAATGGAGTCCAAGAAAAATGGGATTATTTAAAAGTTGCACTATTGAAGGCAACAGAAAATTGCATTAGGCTTGTCAGTAAAAGCAAAAAATTCAAGAAACCACTGTGGTACTCCTCAGATGTGGCCAAAATAGTTAAAAACAAAAAGTTAGCATTTAGGAATTATAAAAAAACCCAGAGTGAGGGAGACAAAATGATCTATAAGATTAGGCAGAAAGAGGCTAAGCAAGCTATAAGAGCTTCCAAATCACACACAGAAGAGAAAATAGCACAGTCAGTAAAAAAGGGGGAAAAAACATTTTTTAGATACATAAATGAGAAAAGAAAAGTAAAACAAGGATTAGTTAGATTAAAAACAAAAGAAGGAAGGTATGTAGAAGAGGATAAAGGTCAGGCTGACTGCCTCAATGAATATTTTGTTCTGTATTTACAGAAGAAAATGAAGGAAAGGGACCTCAGTTGAGAAAAAGGATAAATGAGTCATTTATTACACGTGAGTTTACAGAGGAAGAGGTTCTATTTCAGCTGTCAAAAGTAAAGACAAATAAGTCAATGGGACCTGATGGAATACACCCAAAGCTATTAAAAGAGCTTAGTGGTGTACTAGCAAAACCATTAACAGATTTATTTAATCAATCATTGTTAACAGGAGTAGTCCCAGAAGATTGGAAGTTAGCTAATGTTGTGCCCATTTACAAGAAAGGTAATAGGGAGGAGTCGGGCAACTATAGGCCAGTAAGCCTTACTTCAGTAGTGGGGAAAGTGATGGAAACCATGTTAAAGGATAGGATTGTTGAACATCTAAAACACATGGATTTCAAGATCAGAGACAACATGGGTTTACTTCAGGGAGATCATGCTAAACTAATCTTATTGATTTTTTTGATTGGGTAACTAAAATTATAGATCAGGGTGGTGCAGTAGACATTGCTTAACTAGATTTCAGTAAGGCTTTTGACACTGTTGCACATAGAAGGCTTATCAATAAACTGCAATCTTTAAGTTTGGATTCAAATATTGTTGAATGGGTAAGGCAGTGGCTGAGTAACAGGCAACAGAGGGTTGTAGTTAATGGAATATATTTGAAGTTTGGACTTGTCACCAGTGGGGTACCTCAGGGATCTGTACTTGGACCCATTCTCTTTAATATTTTTATTAGTGATATTGCAGAAGGTCTTGATGGTAAGGTATGTCTTTTTGCTGATGATACTAAGATATGTAACAGGGTTGATGTTCCAGGAGGGATAAGCCAAATGACAAATGATTTAGGTAAACTAGAAAAATGGTCAGAATTGTGGCAACTGACATTTAATGTGGATAAGTGCAAGATAATGCATCTTGGACGTAAAAACCCAAGGGCAGAGTACAGAATATTTGATAGAGTCCTAACCTCAACATATGAGGAAAGGGATTTAGGGGTGATTATTTCTGATGACTTAAAGGTAGGCAGACAATGTAATAGAGCAGCAGGAAATGCTAGCAGAATGCTTGGTTGTATAGGGAGAGGTATTAGCAGTAGAAAGAGGGAAGTGCTCATGCCATTGTACAGAACACTGGTGAGACCTCACTTGGAGTATTGTACACAGTACTGGAGACCGTATCTTCAGAAGGATATTGATACCTTAGAGAGGGTTCAGAGAAGGGCTACTAAACTGGTTCATGGATTGCGGGATAAAACTTACCAGGAAAGGTTAAAGGATCTTAACATGTATAGCTTGGAGGAAAGACAAGACAGGGGGGGATATGATAGAAACATTTAAATATATAAAGGGAATCAACACAGTAAAGGAGGAGACTATATTTAAAAGAAGAAAAACTACCACAACAAGAGGACATAGTCTTAAATTAGAGGGACAAAGGTTTAAAAATAATATCAGGAAGTATTACTTTACTGAGAGGGTAGTGGATGCATGGAATAGCCTTCCAGCTGAAGTGGTAGAGGTTAACACAGTAAAGGAGTTTAAGCATGCGTGGGATAGGCATAAGGCTATCCTAACTATAAGATAAGGCTAGGGACTAATGAAAGTATTTAGAAAATTGGGCAGACTAGATGGGCCGAATGGTTCTTATCTGCCGTCACATTCTATGTTTCTATGTTTCTATGGGTTTTAAGGCACTTCTTAAAAGATGCAAGACTAGGGGAGAGTCTGATGGCGGTAGGCAGGCTATTCCATAGGAAGGGAGCCGCCCGCGAGAAGTCCTGCAGGAGTGAGTTGGCCGTACGGGTGCGAGCAGCGGACAGGAGGTGGTCACGGGCAGAGCGGAGAGACCAAGAAGGGACATACCTATGGATCTGTGAGGAGATATAAGAGAGAGTTGTTCAGTGCTTTATAGGTGTGAATTGATACCTTGGATTGACTTCTATAGCATACAGGAAGCCAGTGTAAGGACTGACAGAGGGGTGAGGTGTGAGAGAAACGACTAGAGAGGAAAATCAGTCTGGCAGCAGCGTTCATTACGGACTGTAGCGGTGCAGTACGGCTCCCACCACTGCTCCTTTTTTTAAATATTATTATTTATAAAGGACCAATAAATTCTGTAGTGCTGGACTAACC